CGAAATTAATTTTTATATGATTTACCACGTTTTAATTTGGTGAACTCTGACCTTTTCCCACTCCGACGGTCAACCGGATGTCATCTACCCCCCGTCGTCCTCGAATTGAAACCAGTCTACAAAGGTAAACAAGAGGTACTGGAGTAGTAATACTAATCAGCCTGCTAATTAACCCCCTAATTGGCGTAGCATTCTGGAATAAACGGCATTCTTCAACTCAAGCCCCAGGAAGTGGAAGTTTCAAAATTCAAAATTTGGAGAAAATCCGTCAATAACTTTTGAATTTACTAATTTCTTCAGCAATTTTCGGGACTTAAGAAATTCTTCAATTTTTGCGATATTATACAGTGCAGTGCAGTGTGAGTGTGTTTACCTATAATTTCTGTGTTTTTCTCAATCGGATTACATTGGATTACCTGCAGTGCAAGCAACAGATGAAAACAGAAGAAACATAACGGCCAAGGTAGGCCTTTCGTTCTTTAATTTTTAATTAGCAGCAATAATTAATTATCTCGTCTCCCAATTACCGCAAATATCTGCTATTTAACTACATTAAATTTACTGGTCATCCTTAAGTGACGAATAGTATACAGACTTCTAGAGAACCGGACTATTAGGTTTTCGCTTAAATAAATTAATTAATTATCTGTACTTATCGGTTCTACCAAATTTACTCCAATTTGCTATGTATCTCAGTTCTCCTATTATCTGTACTCAAGTATAATTGCTGTATTTTCTTGCATTCTGATAACGTTTATCAATCACAATGTATTAACTGGCATTTGTGAAAGTAATGATCTAAGTTTAGTTATTCAAATTAATTAATTATTTGTGATTATCGGTACCACTTAATTAACATTTATCTTCACTGCACCTTGGTTCGCATATCTACTGTGCTCAACAGTGTTTTCACTTTTGTGCAATATACAAGATAGCGAATGACAATAATATATTAAGTATAGAGTGCCACATTAATTCAGTGTTCAAGTAATGAAAACTTTATCTGCACCACAGTAACCTTAGTGATTAGTGTAGTACAAATTGTATACAATTGCTTAAATAGGGTATTTAATTGCTTAAATAGTGTAACTGTGTAATAATTGCTTAAATAGTGTAAGTGTGTAATACTAATTGCTTAAATAGTGTAACTATGTGCACGATCACCAAGAATAATGTGTAGTGCATAATGCAACACTAATTTAGTGCCGAAGTGTTAAAGTGTACAAATGTCATACTGTGATAATATACTGTGCAAGTGTTAGCAAAAGTGTTCCGGGCAATCAGTGTTTAGCACACATCCCAAGTGTTTATAAAAGTGCTCTGTGTTCAAGTGTATAAGTATTTGCAACAGTGTTCTACCCAATCTGTGTTTAGCACACAGCTCAAGTGTTCACAACAGTGTTCTCAGCGACAAAGTGATTATAATTTACTTTCTCCTGCAACTAAGCAATTGATGAAATATGCAAGAAAGTGACAACTCCATTTTAGCAAGGGACCTCGACCTTACAAATCCAGCCCAGAGAGACACTCTAAGCTACTCGGAGAAGATTCATTCATTTGCAGACGAGGCTCTGCGCATCAGCAATACAAAGTGCGGCAAACGAGCAGTACTTCCAGGTGACTTACGAGACCAAATAAGATTTATAATAGAAGCACTCAGAGAGCTGGCCCTACAGGGTCCAGACAGCGATAACCCTCGGCCTACTACTGAAATAGGTATGAACACTGAGGAAGAAGTTCTCACAGCACCGATCACCATACAGACGGCAGCTTCCAACAGCACACGCGTTAAATCTTACGCACAAGTTGCCGCCCCGAAGCTGAAGCATACTATTCTCATTTATCCAACAGAGAATACAGCAACCCCTAGCAAAGACCTGAAAACAGTCCTCAACGAGAAATTTCCACTACAAAAGCTGGGAGTCAAAATTAGCACCATCCGGAACCTGCAGAAGGGAGGATTAGCGGTAGACTGCGTAACCAAAGAGGACGCAACGAAATTAGTCAACACCCTACAGAGTAAACAGGGGCAAGATCTGGTCAAGACCAGACAACCACAGACCAGATTACCGAGAGTGGCCATACACAGTGTGTGTCACCTGATGTCCAGCCAGAAGAATTGGAAAAAAGCGCTCAGCTCCGAGTTCCATCTATCCAAAGCATCAGCAAAGATCCTCTACCGTCTCAAAGACAGAGAAAATACTGTTAAATGGATCGTGGAGTGCCAGCCAGCAGCTTACCGAAGTCTCCTCCAATGGCCCAAATTGTTCATTGGTTGGCAAAGACACCGCATCGCGGAACACTTCAATACCAAGAGATGTTTCCGATGCTAAGAGTTCGGTCATACTCAACATGGCTGCACGAGTAAAATCTACTGCGCCTTCTGTTCGGGCAACCACAGCATCAAGGACTGCCACGCATGCCAGCCCACCTGTATCAACTGCGCAGATACAAATTTCCGAACACATAGTGCAATGCCCTGCAACCATCCAGCATACGACATCCGATGCCCAACCTATGCACGGTATGTTGAGCGAATCCGACGAAGCACAATCTACGGATAACGCACAACGACCAAGTACCTCCGCACCAGCCTGGACGCCACACAAAACGAAAAATACACCCACTGAAGATCGACCAGAAACAAAAGTGGAAACCACCCAGCACCAGACACCCATACGATGCGCTCAAATTAATTTGCAGAGAGCAGAAGCTGCCTCAACCCAAGCCATACAACATAATTCATTAATACATCATAATTTAGACTTTCTTCTAATCCAGGAACCATACTGCCGTGAAGGCCAGGTGGCAAGTTTTCCCCTGGCATGGAAGATCTTCCAAAGGAAATCCACAGCAGAGCAGGCACCCAGAGCAGCCATTGCCTGCTGTAACCCTACCTGGACACCTTTCCTGGTTTCAATGGAACGAGATTTCGTCTCCGTACTAGTTATCTTTAACAATCAACAGTTCATACTAAGCTCCGTTTATTCCTCCCCCAGCGATGACCTCACTGACGCAACTACAGCATACAATCACGTTAGACTGAAATGTCCTACGGTACCACACATCATTGGAGGCGACTTCAACGCCCACAACGTCATTTGGGGCTACCGTGACACGACTCCTAAGGGCCACGAAATGGAAAACTTCATGGCGAGCAATAACCTGCACTTGCATAACAGCCCCGGTGCACAGCCGACATTTGACAACTCGTATCATAAAGGCTGGCCCGACTTGACCCTTTCAACATCGGACATTGTCAACAATATTTACTCTTGGACTGTCATGGATGATGAAAGCAATTCCGATCATAAGTACATCCATTTCCTCATTCAAGTAGACACCAGCATTAGCATTTTAAAAAGGTTTAAGCTTCCGGGTGGCAAGATTAGGCATCTGCATCGCATTCTCAGCGAAACTCTCAGAAGAGAAGAGATGGAGCTTAATACGCTTAATGACCAGTATGATATGAATATCTACACAGATAATCTTCTCACCACTCTCAAGGACATATGTGAGCGAATTCTACCAATCAGGACTGCCAAGAAACTGCAAGGCATTACGTGGTGGACTAGGCAGCTGAGACAAATGCGCCAAAGGTGCAGAGCATTACGTCGCCGTCTCCGAACGGCTGTAGACGGCACAGAAACGGAAAGGTTGCTAACTGCATTCCGACAAGCACGGGCTACTTATAAAAAAGCAATTCTAGAAGCCAAAATCAACAGCTGGCGCAATTTTTGTACCAGCAATAGCAATCCTTACGGAATCCTGCATAAACTGGCCACGCAGAAAATCTTCCAGCCGGCACAAGTGCCAGTGCAGCCAGGGAATCTACCACAAACAATTGACTTAGCAGGGTCCACGGCCACAGCACTGCTTGATGCAATCTTCCCAGCGGATCCAGAACAGGATGACACGACGGCCCAGCGACTTTTGAGAAACTCCACAGAGATCCCAAGAACGCCAGAAGATGTCCCCATTACAATGCAGGAAATCACTCACATCTTCCGCCATCTACCACTGAAGAAGGCACCGGGTCCGGACGGACTTGATTATGCAATCTTAAAGGTCGCCTTCCGAGCACGGCCCACCTTCTTTCGCCTCTACTTCAATAAACTCCTGCACCACAGAGTATTTCCACAAGCTTTCAAGAAGGGACACGTGGTACTTTTTCTCAAAAAAGATAAGAACCCAATAGACCCCTGCTCCTTTCGTCCGATCTGTCTCCTTTCAGCGTTGGGTAAGATCTATGAAAAGATCATAGTTAACAGGCTGAAGTATCATATTCACAAAAACAACTTCCTCAGTCCCAAACAATATGGCTTCCGTTCAGGTTGCTCAACCACACATGCCCTTCAACGAATATATGATGAAGTCCAGCTTAATCGCTCACAGAATCTTCAGACCGCATTCATCTCAATAGACCTCCAGAGCGCTTTCGACACCCTTTGGTGGCCCGCCATCAAGCAGGCCCTCAGAGAGGCGCAATGCCCGGAGAACTTTTACCAAGTCTTTGAGAGTTATCTCACAGATAGGCAATTACTTATGGCAAACAATAATGGCATTGTTACTAAGACCCAAGTCAGAGGCTGCCCACAAGGGTCCTGTGCAGGGCCCTTGCTCTGGAACCTGACATTTAACAAAATCCTCGAAGCGACGTGGCCTGATCACACAACTATCATTGCATATGCTGATGACGCGGCTCTCCTTGTTAAAGGTCGCACACGAGACGAAATTGAAGCCAATGGCAGCGAAGCGTGCGCCAAGTTCGCAAGCCTATGCGAAGACCTTAAGCTGAGGATTTCTATCACCAAGTCTTCTGCACTCCTCATCCCAAGACCGGGCACGAAGCCTGTACGTCGTCCCTGTATCCGATTACTTGGCCGCAAACATTAAATTCATGGATAGACAGAAGTATCTAGGAGTGGTCTGGGGACTCTGGCTTAACATGGGTGCCACATTTGCAGCAACAGAGAGCAAAAACCTCCGCTATAGCCAGAATGACACGGAAATTTCAAGGAAGGAATTGGGGACTAAATCCCCACATTCAAAAAGTGCTTTATAGCACGGTGGTGGAAAAGATTGCGCTGTACGCAGCTGCAATCTGGGCTCAACCGATGACAACGAGGAAAATCAAGCAGTTAACATCACTCCAACGCCCTTTTGTCATAAGCATCTGCAGGGCATACTGCACAACAGCCACGAGCTCCGCCCTTACACTAGCAGGTATAGTCCCTCTACACATCCAGGCCGAGCTAGAGGCGACATATACGAGAGTCCTTCACTTGAGGAAAGACGCCTCCTTCGCAGGTACTCTCTACAGTCCAGCACTTTATGAGCACCCCAAGACACCGCTGCACACACATCCAGCGCATAAAGGACTAGGGGTCCACACCCACATCATGCAACAGCCCAACAAAGAAATACAGCACATCAGCAACCATACACTTTACACTGATGGTTCTAAACATGCTGAAGGCGTTGGCAGTGCTTTCCTGCACTGTTGGCAAAGCCAAGAATTACATCATTGGAAAGGCCACCTAGGTGACAGCAATAGCGTCTTTCAGGCAGAAGCCGAAGTGATAGCAATTACAGCTGCTGTTGAATATCTAATAAGCCGAAAAATCTCAAAAGCTATACGGATAATATCTCTATACGGATAGTATGTCTGCCTTGCTGGCCCTAAGCAAACACAACCATGTTTCCCCGTTGATCATCCGCCTTCAAAACTCTTAAAAGATAACCCACAGGTACACGTGGACATGACATGGGGTGAAAGCTCACGAAGGCAATGCAGGTAATGAGGCAGCGGACGTGCTCGCCAAAGAGGCAGCCTCAAACATCAACGCACGTCCCATCGCTGTTCCGGCGCCACCTTCCCATCTTAAAAGACTGCTGAAAGGCGCAGCAGTCCAGTGGTGGCAAAGAGTATGGGAACATGGAAACACAGGAAGAAGAGTGTATGGTTTTCTACCGATGGTGACAACGGAGAGACTCATAGCAAACGCTCCACTTACTAACTTTGTAACTGGGCACGGTCCCTTCCCGGACTACTTCAACAGACGCACTATTTCTAATACGGATCGCTGTGTATGCGGGGGGAAGAGGGGACACCCGATCACTATATCTTCCGGTGCCCACTCACCAGAACAGCACCATTTCCCGGAACCCACGAACATACCTGCCTTCCACAAGTTTATCCTTAAAAATAAAGCGGCAATCAACACAAGTGTGCTGCAAAATCGTTAACACCATTAAGGCCTACGGCCAAGACCTTTGCCTCCCATTATAAAACAGTGCTATTCATAATGGTCTCAGTGACTGCATTCTGCCTTAACAAACTGTGCAACAATACACACTACATGCTGTATACCGCTAGTGTTTCACTTGTGGGTATTGCGTACATTCTGCGGAAGTGCAATGTGCCTAGTACTGCCACTGTAAAGTACTTTCCCTGAAACTATATTGAACTGCCACTATAACTGTGCACCTTATATGTTTTATGTGTTTAATGCAATGTGTGTGTTTAACGTAATGTTTATATATGTTTTATGCTGTTTAATGTCGTATTGTGTGTACTTTGTATCATTGTACTGTTATGTTTTGTATATTTTGTGTTGAACTGTGTTTTCTCTATGTATATTTATTTGTCATGTATTTCAAATGTGTGTGCTTAATTATGTATCATATTAATGTGTAATGTGTAGTTGTTGTGTCTGGATAGGGGAGGGTGTGGGACATATGCCTGTTACCTCTGTTAGACGCCAGGCGTCCCCGTCCTCCGTCACCTGTCACCTGTGTGGGTATTCTGTGTATATATCCATTGTACATAAATCTTTAATGCACTATCTTCTGTTTTGTATTCTGTTAATACCTTTGTATACGTATTCCGCTCTGTATATCACATTTTTAGTGTTGTGTACTATTCTAAAGTTGCATCATGTTTCATGTATTTATCAATGTATCTCATGTCTCTTGTATTTTATCAATGTATTCCGTGTCTCATGTATTGTATCATGTATTTTGTCCTGTATTTTATCAAGTATCATGTTTTTACTAAGCTTTTGTTCACTGTCTGTACACCCTGTAGTAAGTATAGAATCTCTAGATACCTCAGTATTCCCAATATACAACACTATCATGCATTGGCAATATGCTTAAGTTTATGTATTGAGTGAAGAGTATTGGCATATAATTACGCCTTATGTTTATGTGATTAATGTGTTGTTTTTTTTTTATTATTAATTTTTTTTTATTTAAGACCCTTTCTCTTTATGTCTTGCACTTGACTATTTATGACATGCTAATGTAACCTGAACTGCAATGTAACACAATCACTCATCTGCTCTTGTTGCACTGTAAATACTTTTATTAATTTAAAGTTGCTGCTTCTACACAGGGGAAGGCGTGGGACATATGCCTGTTTACCACTGTTAAACACCAGGCGTCCCCGTCTTCCGTCACCTGTCACCTGTACCTTTCATTTCGTACGGCTGTCGTGCTTGGGGCATGTTATTGCAAAGAAGGTTAACAAAAGAAATTTAGAAAGATTCAACTGTGAATTCTTCTTCGTATTGTTCGTAATTTTCATATGAATTTCTTTACAGATGGCAGCAAGATGAACAACAAGGTTGGCATTTCATTTCGTCTTTTAGAAGGCCATTCCGAGGTTTGTTATTTTAGACATCGTATATGGAATGAATGTACAGTTTTTCAAACAGAAATTCTGTGTATTTATCTTGCAGTCAAATGGATCAAGGATAATGGGACAGCACCCTCAAGGTATCTTATTTATTCTGATTCTCTTTCTTCTCTTCACCTTTTGAAAAGTATTACCAGCTGCGACAAATTGGTTATCGAAACCCAATTAACTGTCAGTTCGCTTGGAAATGGAGGGAATAATATCCGCTTTACTTATACGCGTGCTCATCGCGGTTTCTATCGAAGTGAAAGAGCTGATTTCATAGCTAAAGATGTCTTAAATTTACCCATTGATACCAATATTAGCATTCCAAGGACCTATTGGAAGTCCTTTCATTATAAGAAGCTGTTAGCTAAATGGAATGAGGACTGTATTTCCTCTTGCAGTGCTCAGATCACCAAAAATTTCTTTTCTTCTATTTATGAGTACCATGGACTGCGTTCCGAGTCTTTCCTCTTTTTAAATTTTAAAGTTTATCAATTTTTACCTGATAACGGTAAATTTGCAAGTTACCTGTTTCGTTTTAATCTAAGGTCAAGCATATTATGTGAATATTCAAAAAAAGTACCTCAGGATGTGGAACATTTGATTTTCTCATGCCCTACATTTGATGGCCCCAGATTATGCTTGCAGAACGATTTGAAAATGTCCGGAGTGATTTGGCCAGCGAACGTATCTGTTTTCGTGAAGTCCAGACTGCTGGTCTTTGCTTTTGTTCGTTTTATTTATGCATGCAGCTTTTAATATTTCAGTTAACTTCCTTCTGTAAGCCCTGTGTTGTACATTTGTGGTGCACGGTGAGTTTGTATGTTAAATAAAATCGTGATTTTTCTGAGAAATTTTATGCGGCGTGTGCGCGAAGAAAGCGATGATGATGATGTGAAATTTCGTGAAAAAGAAAAAAAAAAGAAGTTTAATAGGATTGAATGCAACAGTAGGAAATCGGACGTAAAACTTAAACCTTTCATTCAAATCGCCTGTTAGGCTTAGCTAAGTTAGACATTCTCACTTTTGATTATGTGGAAAGCTAGATTTGAAGGACGATTTTAAACTGCAGTTACAAACGCATTTTAAATTTTGGTTGAATTTTCGCACCAAAATCGTACCTCTCGGCTTTTACACGGATCATTTAATGTTCAAATAAATATGCGGTAGTTGTTCAGAACCAGTAACATAAATTAGTAAATTTTTGTTACTTTGATTTTCTTAAGATCACTATAGAAATACATTTTATTTCTATGTGAAAATTTGTGCTAGAAATTTGAGTAATCATATATATAAATTGCGACAATAATTTTACTTTAATTCACTGTGTTCCAAATGATAGTGTAGCTCTATGCTAGATTTTCTCTAAGGTTCGCTCACCTAATGGCCTATAAATAAAAATACATTATTAGAGAGTTCTCGTCCTGAATAAAATAAGATTTGCCCAAATCTAAAGTAAAGATCAAATTCTTATTAGACCATCACTTGTGGTTTTACAGTTCAAATGGAAACCATAGAGGTAAAAAATGGACATTTCTTGTCGACATTATGTTTGAGACAATCTGATAACTTGCTTTGTAAAATATGCAACTAACAAAAATCGTTCATCTTAAAACGAAACTTGTTGATTTAATCCCTATTTAATCAATATAACTATAAGAAATTATCAATCTTAAAGTAAGATATATTAATTCGATTTCAAATCAAATCAATTATAAAAAAAATTGCTTACCATTTTAAGATAGTACGGATCTCTGACGCAGCCTGTAAGAATGGAAACGATTTTACATATATCGATTATCAATGGTAAGGAAGCTCTTTGTTCAAAGCATCATGAGTTCCAAATAACTTTCACCTGCATTTTAGCTTCTCGTAAGAAAATTAGATTTGAGTAACATTTCATGTACTTAGACAATATTTTTAATATAATGTCAGAATGCTTTTTCAGGAAACAAATCTAAAGAATTATGCAATATACAATTTGTTTTGTGTTAATCCCTGCTTTCAAACATTTTTAAAGACTTCTTCAAAAAAGCCAAGATTTAAAACAAAGGAGCAATTTCTAACTATACCAAAAATTTGCTAAATATGCCTTTCTATCTAGAATTTAGTTCCGTATAGATGCAAAACTTTAAAAGAGTGCAAATTCCAAGCATTTTTTTCTAATCTCGTAGCCTTCTCTTTTAGTTTATTTTTTAGAAATCAAACTGCATATTTGATTTATATGCAGATTGATTTCTAAAACATAATGTTTGATTGTGTATGAACCCTTTATTTTTATACGCAACACGATGTAAACAATATCATACAGTTTATTAAAGACACCTAAGGAAAATAAATCCATGTTATGTGTAACGTTCATGTTATTCGTCTCACGTTTTAGTAAGATTGTAATTTTTACTCAATTATTATTAAATTTACTAAACATGTATCAAGTTTACTAAATTAATTAATTATATTAAACTTGATACATGTTTAGACAATTTCTTAGTCCTTCGTCTGTCATATTAATAGTTTTGCTTCAGTTAAAAAAAAAGTGCATATTTACGTTTAAGTTCTTTAATGAATATTGTAAATTATCTACTTTTCATCAAACTGAAATGAATTTGACTTATTCAGCTTTTACACAAAACTTCGCCATGAATCGGAAGCGAAGCTTCCACAACGATGTCATTTATTCCATTCTATCCATTACCTCAGCAATAAAATAATATCCTCTTCCTCTTTTCCCTATTATTATTGCCATTATTATTATCATTTCTTCTGTAGGATAAAAAAACAACAACTTATCCGGCAGCACTGGATCCAACGTAAAACAGATATAACCCATCTTCATTTATTTGATATCTCAAAACAAATTGTAGGAAAAGAAAAGGAAAATGAAACTGCGCGAGATCTGTACTCAGCGAAAATCAATGCTCGAAATATTAAAAAAATACACAGGCTGGAAATTGAATTTTCTTGTTGGTTCATGCC